CCGCTAAGAAAAGTTTACATATTTAAAGATTATTTACCATTAATTATATGTCATTTTACTGAGCACGTCTAAGAATATTGGATAACTCAAAACAATAAGTTCATTCTGTAAATCACCAGTTACATGGCGGCAATATTTTGTCACGACTTTAATCCCGGAAAGAGTTTCCCAGAGTCGTTTACTGAGACCTTTGGCCCATGACAGTCCTCCTACGACATAGCCGGGTAATTTATTTTGTGGTCACTCACGACGATTATCCCAATGGGCGGCACCTCTTTTACAGAGCAAAGCTTCAATACGACCCGAGGATTAAACTTAGATTTCACAGCGGTTAAAGAAATACGTCGCAATAAAAGTGTTGGATGTGTTTCTGTCGGTAAGCGTACCAATCTTTGGCGTCACTGAGAATGAGTACTACATTTTTTGCCTGCTTCCATCACTGCAAACCCCGGTAGCGACCGGTAGCTGCGGCTACTGTGCCAACCATTATAATTCTGTTCGCGAGGTGACTAGCGGTTTATTACTTGATGATACTCATACACCGATCATATCTACCACAGGTGACTAAGTACCTACTTATAACTAGTGAAGCTCATGTATTCACTAGTGCGTGTTAGATGTAGTGAACTTAGTTATTTATAACTTGAATCGCGAACTTCTAAGAGTTTATATCTGGAACATAAAACGAGCTAAATGTGACTGATGTTGTTGTATTATAAAATTAATGTGCCGCAATTTAACGCTTGCGAGAGCTCGACATTTGGCCAAAACATACTTGAAATATGTGTTCACGATAGAGAAACAATAATAAATTACTATAATAACTAGAAAACAGACCAAAATATTTGGGATGTTTATAAACACGCCTTATGCTGGGAGAAATATAGCCTCTGAGATCATGCATAGATCGGAGTCTTGTAAACTAATACCGGGTCTGGCTTTGGCTTTATAGAGCACGGGACCTAATAACCTCTTTCTAGTATGGCGAGCAGATAGTTCCTGTTTAAAGAAAATGAAGGAAATCCCAGGCTACATCACAAACAACAATGAAAGTGACAAAATCACAAGTGCGCTGAAGAACACTAATATCGCAATTCACCAACTTTCGTCTCTCCTCTTCGATGAAATAACATATTTTATTAACCTTTATCAACTTCACGAAAATTAAAGCTACAATTCGTTAAAGAACATTATTTATCTAGGTGAAGCGTGGTTCGTCTTTCATAAACTTAATAAAGACTATATTAGGTGATTCACTTAGGTATTCTTCTTAGTTTCCAGTTCACCGGAAAATCAACTTACTATCTACAGATAGTTAGACGGCATACAAAGTAGTTAGCTCGTGTCCTTCTCGAAACAAAGTTTTATCATCATTCGCTCCTCGGGCGGCGAGAGTTCATTGAATAACAAAGTACACATCTTTGTGGTTTAGTAATTCAAATTCCTTCGAATTTCACTCTACTTTTTGTTGAAGTTCGTTGAGTCATCATTACATTTTCATCTTAATACCTTTTGGATAATACATCAATAGTTTTTTTAGTGTAATGGCAATTCATTCAGTTTTTTCATTCATTCACGATTCTGTCTTGATTGATGATTCTATTTCTAGGTCATCTGATTCCTCTAGACTAGTATTTGTTAGGTACCCGGGTACGTAAACATAGACATAATATATTACTACATTCAGTACCTAAGTTAAACAAATTCACTTAAATGTGTACGTAATTGTGTAACTATAAGTAGGCTTTTGCCTCTAGAATAATTTTTCGTATTCCTTTATTGTAATAATAATATTTTGTGTAGCATTAAAATAATTGTGCACCATTAATGTTAGTTGTTAGCGTAATTCTCCTAAGTAAAAGATTACTTCGATTGTTACGACTTCGCAGTAGGAGCTTTTAGTAAATGTAATTTCACGTTTGCTAAACACGAATAGTATTTATTGGTACACTCGTAACTATTCTGCTTCAAATACGTTAGGGAAAATTCTAGACAGAGGAAAACTAACTCGTTGTAACCTACAATTGGTAAATGTTCATCCAACCATCTTATTTTTTGTTTAATTATGTCATCATCATGGATTATATGACCTTCCTTATCTTTCATCCCGACATCATCATATTTTTTTCATAATATTGTATAAAACTATAACATTTTCGTTATCATCGTTCAGTTTCCAAAACCCCATATTGTTTGTTTTTGTTTGAGTTAGTTTCATGTTTTTCCCATTCATCCACGAATATTTTTGAGTTACTTGCAGTATAGGGATCCCATAAAAATGAGGCACGAGTACACCCGAGTAGTTGCTTTACAAAATATGTAGCTTCCTTATTGTGATAAGCAACCTGTGGGTTGCTTCGAGTTTATTATATGGTCGTCAGAAGTTTATTTATTCAAAGCAGTTTCAAGTGACTTGGAAAAACACTAGAATAATATTTTCATTTATTCTAGTACTTTATGATTTTGCTGTAATAGCTGTGTCCTTGCATCGGAGAGCTGTTGACCGGCTTTCAACGACTTCATTTTATTGCCATCGTTAGGAAATTTGCATTTCCCGTTTGTGAGTGAATATATTTTATTAGAACTGCATTCATGACACGGTTATTACCTGCCGACAACCAGGTACAATTATATTTTCACATTATTTACTTGTTTTCCGAGCAAAACGTTTCTTAGATTGTCTTTGCATGAACATGAACTTTAAAGCTTATGTATTGGATTTTATCGTACTGCAGCTGATTTTTCAACTTTATTTACTTGTTAAAGTAGTTTAAGTACGATGTTTATTAATTATTATTATTAACCGCAATTGCGATTGATGAAAATGTGAAATAGTATGTTTGGTTTTCTCATTTATGTACAGGCTCTAGGGGTTGTAAGCACGAATGGTAATTTTTGGGAGACGTACGTAACACATAGGGCAAAGTATTTAGTTTGGAACTGAATGTAATTAATTTTTAGTCATCTATTTAATGGTTACTTACACTTGGTGCTTTTAGCCTCATGTAGGCAAGAGATTTAGATATTCTTAATTTTATTTTAAGAAAATGATCGGTCATGCCAATAAATTAAATATAAGCAGACGACAAAGAATTTTCACAGCATTTCATATTTTTAAACATCTTTATTGCTTAATGATTTAATAATAAGCAATATAAAGGGAACGCGGAACGAAAAAATATTATGTTCTTTGTTATGGAAAATGGCCAGTATAATGGTCTTTTATATTAAAAGCTCTTTTAAAGAGGCCGTCCCACTAAGTCTTTAATGGGATTGAATAATAAGCTATAAAGATTTTGAATGGTCTAACTAAATGGTTTATTCTTTCCGGCCTGTTTGTAAGCGGTAGCGCGTAATTCTTTAGATGGCCGCTTTACTATCCGGGATAGCTAGATTGTTGTATTGGGAGTCGATAAAATAAGCTTAAATGGGTTCGGCTCGTATATCAGAGTCGGCATCATAAAGGTGGGTACCAACTGTCAAATGGCTCATTGTGGCGGCTTGGCTTTATGATGGCATTTTTACAGGCAGGTACACGCTTTGAACGTCTGCCATGCCGCCCGCCAATTATATTCTACTTAACTCTGTGTCCACGTCCACTTTTATACACTTCGGACAATTTGCTTTGAAATAACACCTGCGCCCCATACATATGTCAAATCATACGATAAAATCTTTATAGGCTTGATAACTACGATGAAATAAATTAATTTACAGCTCTTGTTGGAGTGGGTCTTCGTAAGTTTATTATGTATTACTAAATCATTGTCACTCTACAAAAACTTTGTAAGTTGTATTAAACGAGAGTTAGGTTAGGTTAAAAATAATAATCGTTAATGAGGTGGTTTCAATATGATGTTGTAAATTTTACCTATTTACTACGATTAGTTGTGTGGGTACTACCTTTTACTCTTTTAAACATATCTTTAATTGATCTCACTATATGATAATAAACTACATGATAGTACATAATGGTATTCAAATTTAACTAGATTTAACATTATAAATAAGTATATCCGCATGTCACCATGCAGCGTGCCCGGGAACTATAGTCTGCCACAGTTTTGTTTGTCCTAAATTCATAGTTTGCCGGTGATAGTGGCGCTAATGAGGCGACTTTTCAGCTTCGCTGGTGCTTTGTTAGGAGTTTTAGGTTTCCACCGTTCCAGAGTTTTGTTTTATCATAAACATTACCTTTTATATACAATTTTTGGGCTTGTTGTGCTTGAACAGTTTTACCGCCATATTATGGTCAGTCAACTTTTACTCCTTATTGGTCGTTAAAAGTTGTTACCAGAAGTCATAATCATAATTTTGGAGTTCAGCTATAGGTAGACAGACTTATGAGTTATGATACTTCATTTTTCAATAAACGCACACAGGTAGGTATAAACCCAGTTCAATTTACAATGTTGCCGTCAGGCATCTCCAATTACGTCTGAGTTAGTTTACAAAATTTGTAAAATTTAATAAGGTGTAAAATTATGGCCAAAAGAACAAAATATAGGTAATCTGTATTGGAGGCGGTGTGCAGTGTGCGTGGAGTGGCGCGGGCGCAGGCCGGAGGGCGGTCGTTTTGTTCGGAGTCGATGCCGTTGACAGGTGGAGGGTGCGCAGGGCCGGCGGGGGGCGCGGCGCGGCGCCCGCGCAGCTCGCGTGGCCCTCTCGCCTGAGTCACGCGCGCCTCGTAATGCTTGCATAATAATAATGACGGATGCCGATCGCGCGGCGGCTCCTTTGATCTACGGCGCGTTTGATCTTGCCGCTGGAGCCGGTCCCGCCGCCCCTGCCGCACAAACGAGCCGCGCGCTCGCCTACTCGGTCGGGCGGCGCGCTGGCCCTTCGCCCTCGCTCTAAATAGAGGCTTTATTTTGTAAACAGCGGGAGCGCTACCGTGCGGCGTGCGCGTGGAGCCCGCGCCGGCGCAGTGGTGCTCCTGCGCCCGCCAGTATGGGGTGTGCTCCGGCTCGCCTGCGCCCGCGCTCCGACCTCCGGGAGCGATGAAGCGCCTCCGTGGCTCGCTCCGCCGCAACCACTGGATTGTTTGGACACTTTGTGTACGCATTGCTTTATTATTTTGTGACGTGTGTTGTTCACGCCGATCTCAGATAACAGTGAGAGTAAATAGTGAACATCTTAATGAGGCGGAAGTTTACATGTTTGTGCTCCTCTTACATCGGAATATTTAATAATTATTCTGTGTTTATGAATAATATTTAGTGAATGTTTTAGTTAGGTAATAGGTTAAACATTACTCCAATTGGATTTTGTATTGAATATGATATAAAATAATTACCTAAGTATACCTAAAGTAAACTAAATAAATGACAAATGAAGGTAGGCAAGGACGAATATTAAAGGCATACCTAATATAATGGACAATGTAGCCTCAGTTACCTATAGTTGGAAATATTTTACTCACTAATATCTGTTTGAATTCTCTTTAAAGTTTAATGACATGAAAAAATATTACCTGGACTTATTTGGGTAATCTCTCATGACCTTGGTACAATTTGTTGAATTTGTGTATTGAATTACCTATCATTTACCTTTTCTTGAAAATTAAATTTTGAAAAAGATTGAAGTTAATTATCAATTTCTTATTTAGGAGGTCCGATAGCAGTTTCATATTAGCAAGAATTCCAATTTCAATTTAATTTTTATTTTCTATTAGTTTTAATTTTATTAACTTATTGGTCCAGTATCAATAAATATAAGGCACTTATTATATTATTTATGAAAAATATTTAATGTTCAACTTGTTAGGTAATATTTATATACAATCACAAATACGTTCATTATTTAATATTTAGCTTCAATTTACTACAAAACTTTTTGACTTAGCAAACATTAAGCTAATATAGACGATAATTATAGCAACGAGTTACCATTCAATTGAATTCTGATAAACAATGAAATAAGATAGGATTCTTAATTAATATATAGTCACTTAATTATTCATCTGTATTTACGCAAAGAAAAAAGAAGTAGGTGTAGTTGTTGCATTAAAAATGTAGACTATGCTGATTGAGGTAAAGGGATGTAGCAGGCAGGTAAGAAAATAATAATGGATATAGTACAGAGACGGCAATCATTGGTTGGCTACTGAGCCAACCATAATTTAAAAGCTACTGTCTCTGTACTGAGTGAATCTTTATTTTATTACTGCATACTAAATGACTTGGCTGACTGTACAATGTACAGTACAGTAGAATGTACTGTGTACATAGATACGTTAAGTACATATTTTCTACCGTAAACTAGAATGGACAATAAGTTACAAAGTAAAGACTCCATCCATTTCTGAGATTACTTTGCTTACATGTGACTGTTGGATCCTCTCGTGACTTCATCGGGATAGTCCACATTTGTAATCCATTATAAAAGTCTATTTTGGTTTGAATGAAACGAGTTTACTTAGGTCGATCTAGAAAAAAATAGTTTAAAAGTAAAATACGATCTCACGAATATCAAAGTTTAAAAAGAAAAATTAGTAAATTCTTTAGTTGAAAAATGTTTATTATGGTAATTCTATTGAGCACGAAATTGAGTTCATCTTTTTTTAAAATAAAAAGGATTTGTTCTAACAGAGAATAAGTAATTATACTTATCTCTTTTAAAATAGTTTCAGGTTCAGTCGTTGCTGTTAACTTAATAATCTATATATGTATATAAAAGAAAGTCGTGTTACTTACACTATTTATAACTCAAGAACGCCGCAATCGATTGAGATGAAAATTGGCAGGGAGGTAGCTTAGAACCAGGAGACGGACATAAGATAATTTTTATAGAATACTTTTTTTACTTTTTACCGAAAATCACGAACGGCAACGGGGGGGAAATGGGATTGCGCGTACGAAGTCGCGGGCAGAAGCTAGCTTTAAATATTTATTTAGTCAGTAGAGACATTATGTAGTTTGTAAAACACACTGCCAATTAGGTACACATTTTTAATTCAATATTTTTTTTGTTTGAAGTGGTCAGTAAATCGTACACATAAGGACCAAATCTTTTCAGTTTCTCTTAGTACCTATTATTTTGGCATATAATATTTATATATTAAGTCGTTTAATCATTTGCTGATGTAGGATCTATTTCTCCTTGTGGTTCGTTATGAAAGAAGTTTTTCTAATACTTTCATTGTGTACCTCTATAACCGATGTTCACGCTAAATCATTATCAGGATCATGTATTTAACTGGTCTATTTTAATGTGCAAATATTATGTCCACAGGTGATACTGTGTGGAGCGTGCGAGAGCTCGGCGCCCCCAGACAGCCTGCGCCTCGTGTGGCTCACCAACACCTCGCTCACCTGCAACGATGGATCCCCGGCTGGGTAAGATTTAACTTACTCATTAACGAATAAACGTTATATTACGCAGGTAGCCAACGTAGAAGTCATTGAGGAAGCCTTTGTTTAGCCGAGGACGTCTAATGGCTGATATGATGATGATGACGTTGGTGCTCGTCAATTAATGGAGAAGTAGTTGAGCAATCTTGCAGTACCTATTGATTAGCTCATCACATTTTCTACTTGGTTCTACCAATTTGTTTATCGTAATTTTTATTATGACAAACCTCCTTTTATGTAGGAACCTTTATTATTCACTATTCTTAACTATTAAAATTCATCAGCTTATAATTACGACGATTCAATCATTAGATTTTTCACATGATTTCAGGTACTACTTCAGACGAGGCACGAATAGTGATCACTGGGTGGTGTACCTTGAAGGTGGTGGATATTGCTGGGATACGGCGTCATGCAATGCTCGGTGGAGGAGACGGCCTGCTCTCATGTCATCCACGCGTTGGCCAAAAGCTCGTCGCGCTCCCGCCCTCCTCTCGGCTGACGCGGCCGCCAACCCGCTGTGGCATGCTTCCAACCACGTTCTCTTGCCGTACTGCTCGAGTGATATGTGGGCAGGCACCAGAAGTACTCGGCATCCTAGCGCAGGATTTGTATTTGCTGGCCGTCTCATCGTACGAGCTGTTATCGCCGACTTGTTCCGCTACGGGCTCACCGGGCGCATGTTGCTGGTGGGCTCCAGTGCTGGGGGAGCCGGTGTTATGCTACACGCAGACGCTGCAAGACGATCGCTACGATCTAAAGGAGTCCGTGTTGCTGCAATTTCTGATTCTGGATGGTTTCTCGACCGCCCGACGAAAACACGACGAGCTCCGGCTGCCACAGTTGCTCGCCTTGGCCACACTCTTTGGCGTGGTAAACCACCAACTTCGTGTGTGCGCGAGCATGCCACCGAGCCGTGGCTGTGTTACTTTGGATACCGACTTTATCCTCACATTCGAACGCCTCTTTTCATCTTTCAGTACCTGTTTGATTCGGCTCAACTGGCTGCAGAGGGTGTTCGCGCTCCTCGCACTAGATCACAGTGGGACGCTGTCCACCAGACAGGTACAGCCTTGTTATTAAGTTTAAGTCCAGTGCGTGCTGCATTCGCACCTGCTTGTCTTGCTCACGGAGCACTCGCTCGTCCCGAGTGGCAAGCTATTAACGTTTCGGGTATTACATTACCGCGAGCAATAGCATGCTGGGAGCAGAGGCTCGGCGGCGCCAGAAAGAAAATGCGTGGTGGCTGTGCACCACGACGACTGATTGAGAGATGCACGTGGCCACAGTGTAATGGATCGTGTCCGCGGTTGCGCGACCCGCGCACTGGTGAAGAGGTGGCACTAGCGTCACTTCTGCAGAGCTTTGGCTTGGACGTCCGAGGCGCAGCTGCAGCCATGGGTTTGGATGCTCGCGCGCTGTCCCGAATGAGTCGAGCCGAACTGCTTCCTCTGTTGGCACCTCATATGTGATGCAGTTTATTATATTAATACTACGGACTTTTAACGTGCTATCTAGCACGGTGAATCTACCTCGTTTTTGTTGCACAAGTACAAGTTATATTACGTATAGATATTAGATATTATTTATTGTTCTTTGAACTAAATGTAATAGAAATAAAGGGTTGGAACTCTTAGTTCGTGTTTCATGGTCGATTTTAGTACTTAAATAAGAATGGAATAAAACTCATTACCCTCTTTGGCACATCTGTATTTTATGTACAAATTATTGACAGTCCTTTTGAAGGACTGTTAGACTAGTTAGAACCTATATACAAATTAAATATCTAAAATTATCTCACTACTTGTCGATTGGGTCCTTTACGTATGGCAGTGATGAGAGGCGGACATCCGCGATCAGCTGGTAACTAGATAAATAATTGATTGTGTAAGAATAGCTGGCGCGGCAGCTCCGAGCGGTTCCGTCGGTGTGGGAGCCACGGCGAGCGACGGCCGGGAGCACCGACACGGCCGCGGCTGCGTCTAGATGTGTTAACGTAGAGTCCCCCGCTTCGGAAGCGTTTATGACGACGTCATAAACGGGAGGCCCTCTCAATGCTTATCATTATGGACAAATCAACGACGTCGTTGCCTAAGAAGAAGTCGGTGGAAATTATATTGGCTTGAGTGCGCCAGCGTGTCGCCAGACGTGCGGTCACGTTGCGGTTGACGGCGTCAGCGTTGTCACGCAGTGACCCTCGCAGGAAAAGGATGTCAAGTACAGTGGGAGTAGTCTGCGCCATTGCAGAGAAAAGTGGCGACCGCGCCGAGGGCTGGGGAGACGACGCTATTGCCCTGTCTAAGTACTGGAACAACTCCGTCGGACTGTTCGTGTTAGCCCACAAGTGAGGTAAAATGGGCCAAAGCCACGAGTTTTCTGAAAAAAAAAAACAATAATCAGCGTGAGATCAGTTTCCAAAAATTTGTTATAAAAATATGTTGGCTCTATGTTTGCAGTTTGTGTAATTTTATCGGGGAAGATGGAATACTTACCTACCTATCTCCAAACCATAACTAACTAACTAAAAATTACTCAATTTAATTAAATATAAATTTATCTTTTAATAGGTGAGTTTATCACCCTTCTGTAATTAAAGTGGCAACGATTACATTTTGTTTATTTAGGTGTTTGTAGATAACGGTACACCTACTTATATGCAAAATGATACCAGACGAAAATGTTATAATTATATAAATTCTGTCCAACATTGTAGACTGATAAAAAGAGTTCTGTGTAGACTATATAGTTATTATAACTATTTGAGGTATTCTGAAAAATTTTTGGACTTTTTGAGAGATTAAAGTTCATATTTTCCCTTGGGAATTCATTGATAGTCTGCTAACGAAATAGTCAGTAGGGGTTCACTTCTTGTATTTAATATCAATCACTTTATAATACTTACGGGAAACAATAGAGTTGTCAACGTAACTAAAGAGAAGACGCTTATCAGCATTAATTAGTGTCTGCAGAGTGGGCCCCCTGGTGCCAATGCCTGTCCCAAACTGATTGGCTAAGGCCAAGTGGGGCCCCAGTTCTCTCTGCACTATTTCCAGAAGACCCGCATGCACAGGTCTTATTGGCGCCCCATCTGGCTGGTAGAAACCGACGGGGAAGTGATGAGCGTCTAGGAAGACTACCTGGAAATGTTATAAGTTACCATAAAAAATCAGTTAATCAAGTTACATTTTTAACCCCCGTTACATAGCTCGGTAACGGTAAATGAAAACGATGAGTTCTTACAGTTTAACTGGAACTGATCTAGCTAATTATCAACAAACTATCGACTTCTGTGACTTAGCAAGTAACATCTATAGGACATTACTCACCTCTTTCGTAACATCAAGGAAAGCTCTTATTTCTCTCAACAGCGGCACTAAGGGACGGACTCGAATTAAGTTGTGATTTAACCAATATCTGAAATCATGAAAATCTAATGTTACACCCACATTCACAAGTCATATAATTTATCCAATACATATTCTTCTGGCTCTATTGAACTAAAATATCATATTTATTGTCTTTCGTTTAGCAATGAATTATGTACATTAACTTGGTAATCGAAGTAGTCATGCGAGACCATTGATCGCCTGACCGTTCAATGTTTATTTGGTATTTGGAACAAAAGGTTTACGACCAAATTATCTGTATTACATTTCGTTACATTATTTCCAAGTAACTGAAGTTTGCAGGAGTTTTTTGCGGTCGAATTAGCATGCAGCATACTAGGCACAATGATTATTATTTGATATCGAGTTAGTTTTTGTGATTGCGGTGGAAATCGAGTGAGTTTGCCTACAACGTTCCTCTGAGTCGGTCAAGCGTCGCTTAAGTAGCAAACTTCTCGTGTCAAGTCATCTCTTGGCTTATTGAAGAGCAATGAAGCGATTTATCTCGGCTAAATGAGACATATATACTTTGGGGATGAGGGAAAAACAATAAAATGGAATAATCAAGAGTTTTCTAGCTATCACTGGATGATTCAAATAATGTATAATAAAATCCGACTATGTACAGACACAGACGGAGTTATCTTTCAAGTTTTCACTTTGAATGAACAACATGTTTCTATTGTATTTTTTTGTCGTCTCGACAATTTACCGCTTACAATTTTCTAGTAATGTGAAATTTTCTCAGTTGCTTTTCACGGAACTACCGTTTACACTAAAACCCATCTTAAAAATCCTCAAATAATCCGCCGTTCAATCATTCTCTTAACACGATTGAACCATCAGGCTCTTAGCATAATCTCCTGAATTTTATGTAGCAACTTTACTACATAAATTGCCTTGAAGACACTGAATATTTCCGTGATTTCTTAAAGTTGAAAAATTAGAATTGTAGTAAATAGGTAGGTACCTGGCTTCCTCATTTTGGTAGAAATCGTAATAAGCGATTCTGAAGTCGAAGTATCTGATGCCGTGTACCAGTTGTCCCCAAATGGACCGATCTTGGCACAGTACAAAGCTGTCCCGTGATACGGAGCTGACTTCGGTGTTAAACTTCCACGCTCCTGCGTTATGTGTGCCCGCTATAGCTAAGTCACCGACGCGTAGATTGTTGATTTTAGACCTGAAATTTAAAAAAAGTGACGAGGTTAATGGTAAAGCTTTTGTGAGCTTATTTATTTAGTAGAACGCGAGTTTAGCATACAAAGTTACACACAGCACCAATAACGAGTACTGTTCTACTATTTCAGAAGGAGTTGTAAGGCAAGTAGGTATTATATTTCTGGAGCTACAGGGGAGTTAGTAGTAGGTAGAAGATTTTCCTTAATTCTGACTGGATCGGGAAACTCACCCTGCGTCTTCCATCCAAGTGGGTTGAATCTTCAAGCAATTGAAAGCTTGTATTTCAGCATTCTCTCCTGCAGCGACCCACGGCCAAAGACACTGGGGACCTTTGACCCCAGCACCGGTTGCCCAGCCAGCGGGCAGGGTTCCTTCGCCTAAGGACATGTTCGTGACGACATGACCTTCTGATGTCGTCACTCGGAAAACTGATAGCGCGTTATCCCATGATTGTGGTCTATCGTCAAATAGACCGATCTGTAAAAGAAAAGCAGTGAAAGTTGAAATAAGTGTAGAGTGTAACATAATCTGTAAGTGCTCGTATTGATGGAAACATAAAATAAATGATTACTTAATATTTAATGGAATTATGCATTGCAGTAAAAAGTTATTTCCAATTACAAAATATACGTAATACCAAATAATGGGCAGTAAATCAAAATGAGGTAATTTTCATTATGATCCATTTTTGTACGTGACTAAAACATGATACATTGCCGTTGATTTCCTGCCTTTGCATTCACACGCAATTGTATTTGATATGTGGGTATGATCATTCATCGGTAGGTGACATGTAAGCGAAACCACTTCCACTATTATTGTATTTCGTAACTCAGTATTTGAAGGAGCAGCAAATGATGCCGTGAATAATAAAAATTGATCGTCAACGGACGAAGTGTCACGTCCGTGTGATTGTCATATTGTCATAATATGTTACGTAAAATGATTTGTAGACATAGTTGTATATTTGTTTATAATGTGACTACAGTTAAAAGTACAAAATAATCGACATAGTACATAGTTGCAAATTATACTATGCATCGTGTACATATATCATACATCATTATTTGGCTTTTAGATATCTTAAAAGATAAAATTACTCGACAGGGGTCGTTGTTGAATGTAAGTAACGCTAAAATGTAAAAGGTCAACGAATCTAACAGCTTCAAAAAGACAAAGCAGAGAGTCATAAAGAGTGTTAATGCTGTGACTAACAGAGCTTTATAAGTTTCAATTTACCATGACAGATTTGCAGTTTATTGTGTGATGCAACACAACAAAGAGTACAGGAACTGTACTGATCAGTGCAACCAACTTTGAGCTTTATTATGTCAATCATAATAATTTGCAAGTCTACTGTGATTCAAAAATGTTTCATGCAGTTACGTTTTTGTGCATTGATATGTATAGAGTGGTCTATGTCGGGTCTATAAAAACTAAACTTGTTTTATAAAATGACTAATTGTATGAATAATGGGATGACAAATTTAATTTCAACAATATAAGTAAGTTTTGTCTAAATACGGGTACTTTGAACCATTCTTATGTCTTCCTAATTAAAATCGTGAACAATAGAGCTTTGTCAATATATTTACGTGACATTAACCGTTATTTTAAGTAAACATCATGAAGTTTTAATATTTTATAACCCAGAAAGATTTCTGTGGCGCAGAGAAAAGGTACAGCACACAACTTACGGAGAACACTAGAGTTAAAGAAACTAGTGGGAAGAAATTATATAGATTAATAAATTGGTATTGATACAATGGTACAGAATGAACCATCGTATGTAGAAGATCATACACAAATCGTATAGTGCGCAGTAACAGTTATTATAATTATTCAAGATAGTCTTATTATCTTAGATCAAATTATTGTTTTTCGTTCAACATGTTTGTATAATATTGTTGAATGACTTGCTATTGTGAATAATTATTATCTAGCTATGAATGAAACTAGCATTGTACTATAGTAATCGTTGCTGATTTAATGGATTGTAAAGTATATGGAAGTTTATGATCCGTATTTAATAAACAAAGACATTCAAGCAAATCTGATAAAGAAAACAGGAAGAAAAAGAAAACAAATAAACGTACAACAATGTGCTTAATTTTAATGGTGTTTTATGTTGAATTTCCCATTTTGTAAGTAGGTACATGCATGCTAAATCTTGTTGGTTGGACTGATTCTATTTTGTATGATTATCTCAAGGTAGATTTTAATAATAATAGGGAGGCACACAAACAGACGGACACCCGTCGCAATGATTATATGTTTTTATAACAGTCATGGCTTAAGAGTACACATGTATGCATTCAGGTATATGTTAACGTCATGCTTCACAGCTCGATAACTCCAAAGGATGACGAATGATGAACTTGATGATTTGCACTTCAACTACTAAATTAGCGTTAAATATTAATGGAAATGATTTCTGACAAGGACAGGTGGTTTTTTTAACTTACTAGGTATAATGTAAGTGGATCTATTAAAGAGTGGATGCTCATTAATATCTGCTGAGAAGTTCAAAGTGAAATTATAACGCCTACTTTCAATAACATATAGGTAGAAATTTCTATACTATGTAGACATAAGTCAGAAAATTCAACTATATGTTACCCTTCCACAATTTCAAAACCTGTTGTACTTACCGCCATTTAGAAGATCAAATAATAAAAAAGTAGAAAATTGACGTTGTAATGCTTCTAAGACAGAATATATAACATTATCACTGCAACCGAGTCTTGTAATCTAGTTTGTATAGCACTTACTTGTTTTGGTGTACTAAAACACCCGTTGAAGTCCCAATTAAGTTCCACTGCATCTAAGAGAGTTACTGAAGCAGCTAACCGGATTTCAGGCGAGTGTACTGTCACCCACACCCGACCGCATGCAGACTTCTCCAATATTTGCTTTTCCGTTGCTGGAATTAATACCATTAAACTGAATTAGAATCTGTACCTAGTTAATTTAAGGTCTATAATTATGTGCCTATTTATTAATCACAGATTTTTGCGTCATTAATTGTTTAGTTTCATTAAAAGTGGTTGCTTAAGTCTAATTACTCCTCGGGGAAGTATATTGGATTGTGCTGCTTTAGTTCATGCGATTTTAGACCCTAATGCAACTCCGATATAATCTTATACACGCCTGTAATTATAACGTGTATTCGCACTACAAACTAAAACCAGATAGGAGATAAAATAACACGTTTATTCCGAGTATTTGAAAAGCCAAATATTTATGTTCAAATGTGGTTATTCATATTGCTTCGTGGAATTTAAACCAACTATTTGAATAACCTATCTCGACGTATCACAATTTCGATCTGTAAACTAAATAAAAGGATACTGAGTACAATACTAATAAGCCATTTTGAATTCAGTGATAGCGAGTTTACTCCTGGTGAAATTGGTTCAAAATTTCTAGATAGACTTTAATTAATATGTTAGAACAATGGTATAGTAACCTTTGTAGAGGTAGTTATATCGGGAATATTTAGTTGTCTAGGTGCCTGTACTAAAAGGGTCAAATAAGTAGGTATTATACCTATTTGCATTGTAGTGTTTTCTACTGAAAGAGAAACGCTTATGATATCCAGCGATTCCTACTAATATTATAAATTTGTATGCTTGTTTGTTTGGTGCATAGGTACTCCTTCACGTCAAAACTGCTGAAGGGATCGTGATGAAACAGGGCTAGATTATGGTCTGGAATAACAAATACCCTACTTTTTACCCCACGGGAATGTAGGCAAAGCCGCTGGGAGAAACTAGTTATTTTATAATTATACACAGATAAGTTAGTAATTAGTTTGTATGGTCTACGCGTTAGTGTTATTTATTACTTCGTCTTCTGCAATTTACAATGCGTGCTACCACCCACCAGTAGTGAGGTCCTTGGAACCGTACACTTTACGTACATACACGTTTCAAAGTCCGTATTATCCGGCTCGGTTTTACGACCGGGAGTACAACCGGCGACGACTTGTGCGGTACTAGTGACACTGAAATGTTACATGAAGATGAATGTTAAAGTGATGACCAGACAGTTTGCGCTGCGTAAAATTGTATACAATGATGTGTCTGAAATACGAGTTATGCAAGAATATATTATAATACATTTATAAAAACAGTAATACATAATACATGAGTAGGAAATAGTGATAGCTAAAGAACTTAATAGAATATGAGGTATTACGTGTCGCTGATTGCTAGAGACTGCTAACGTAGACGGATTGCTTCAGAAAGTGATAGATGATAATATTACTTAGCCGCAGGTCTATAAACAAGTAAAGTTGTTAGTCAGAAATTCAATTAAACATGACCTCTATAGAAGCTGACAAAGAGGATTTAATGGAGGTTCCGAGCTAAACCACTAATCTAAATTGACGAGTGAACGAAAATGTAGTCCTTTTTGAATTCACTGACCTCACACCGACCGTGTATTGTTACAGTGTGCGTTACGGATAGTGAAAGTGTTAACAACCTACTGTCTAGAGGTAGACAGATTTAGGCCAATTTAGTGTTTACTTCGAAACCACAGTGTATCACGAAAACTAATTCATCATATACCCAAGACAGTAGCAATGATTTATCAGTATGTGCAGTGAGTTCCAGTAAACGTTAAGTAATACGAGGCTAATGACATAATTGCAGAGCGATGTGTACCGAAGCATATTTAATTAAGTGTTTAGTAAATCCACCGCGTGGTCTCATACGGATGCTCTGTGCTCTGTTACATAAGTGAAGCTCTTTGACTGACACGACTGGACGACCAGTTGTCGTAATGCTGCGAAGAAAGAGTTTCGAACAATGAATCAGTGCCGCTGTTCTAATTGACAGTGTTATAGCAGATTTCGGCTGCATCGTTTCTATGCAAATTACTTTGTGATGCATTTAAATTAAGTTATGCTAGTTTATTTTTAATTATATGAATAAAGTATTAGTCACTAATCATAGTTAGAACTGTCATACGATGTCATATTTTAATAAATTAGTTTCTATTCATAAAAACGAAATTCTAGGAAATATCAGCGAAATTAAAAAAAAATACGGAACGAGTTGATTAGTTTATTTCTCAGCCGCGTTTAATTAAAAAATATTTTGCATATAGTTACAGTTTTGATTGCATATGCGTGAACCGAAGTTTCGCTGTTAGTTTTTACTTACAATACTAATTAAATTGTTCTTGAAGCATTCACAGTAGCATCCATGATTAGTAACTAATATTAATATAACATAATAAGATCACGCCTTTTATCCCTGAAGGGATCGGCAGGGGTGTACATTACGGCACTTAATGCCACTGTTTGTACATTGTGAAAAGTGGGTGTTACATTATTGTAACACCCACTTTCTACTATTATTACTATTCACTATTTATGTTTTGAGTCCCATGTAATGTTAACTTACGTTATTCTTAATGAACGGATGGCTTACTTAGCATGAATTTGTGAACATTTTTTAAAAAGAATACTCGTGGCGTGATGCACAATCAATAACGAAGACAAAAATATAGTTTTTAGAATTTTTGTCTGTAGGTATGTATGTCTGTCCAGCCTAAACTCAAAAAGTATTGCATGAATTTAGGTACTTCAAATTATGCATGTTCAGTTCAGTGGATGCGGGTGGCGAGTTGTCGTTCGACGTGGAGGGCTAAGGGGGAGGCCTTTGTCCAGCAGTGGACGTCTTCCGGCTGTTGATGATGATGATGAAATTATGCATGAATTATTAACACGTCGGGTCCACATATAGGCTACATATTATCCTGCCGTCATCTACAGGGGAGGAGCTGTGAATCACTATTCCACGCGGACGAATTCGTAGGTACAGCTTTTAATACTATGTTTACCTTTTTATGAATAGAAAACATTACCTACAAATCTTTAGAGAGTATTGATGTGTGCTTAAAATTCTATCTAGACTAAGCATCTATCATGAGCTACATTAGTTCTAAGGCATCTGTCTACCCCTCCCACAAATAACAACGCTATTTTAAATCCATGTAAGTAAATCTGAGTATCTTATCTTAAACCTAATCGTAAGTAAGACACATTGCGTATTAAACGGTACTAATTAATTTGTTCACTGATGATAAGATATAGTCCGCAGCTGTTGTGACGACAAAATATTATGTATTCTTATTTTTTTTACATAAAATTATCATGAAATCCAATCTGTGAATTCCCTAATAAGTACAAAGCAAAGATGACGTATGTAATTAGATGGGTTCATTATCCGCGAGGAAAGTTATTGCGAAAATATTCTATTACTTATTGGGCAAGGTCATGGTCGGCTCATTGTCTAAGCCATAGTGATCATTCATGTTGACTTTCTTTTAAACCAGTAGGCTTAAAACACAATCCATTGTTATCTATTCTATCCATCTATTGTAATCACTCCGTCCATTTAATTGTCCATATTAATTACTTATCTAAATAGATCACGTGTAAAAGGTCGAAAAAGCAAAGATTCACGTAAAATATAACTTGAGAATCGTTCAACCAAAATATTCTTTGGTTTATTATTGTTTCCAGAGGGAGAACTTGGGATACATTGTATGTGTCACTTCCCGTTCAGTTCGGCCTCGCGAATGTCAAATAAGCTTGACAAGGCCCTGTATTGGGGTCATATAAAGGAGAATCCCAATTTTGATTTGATCATTAGTCTTATAAAAAACATTAAAAAAATAAATAAATAAATAACAAGCATAAAAAGCATTTGGCCTATACTGAACTCAGCGGTGGCATAGGTCAGTTAGATTTCCTGACTTATACGAACTATGTATAGACACAGCAAGTATGAAATAATAGTGTATAGTTTTAATCTTTAAAGTTACGTAAATAAGTCGGAAATTATTTACTATCTCCTTACATAAGGCGATAGTAATATTATTATAATAATATTGCTTTGAAATGATGTTATGGATAACATCACTTCAAAGCAATATTAAATAAAATATTTACGCAGATATACATATTTTTAAGGTCGGTGTGCTGAGATAGTGTTGACGATTTTTTGCATGTAGTTGTATTTCGAAATATATAAATATTTACTTTAATACAACCAATATCGGTCGTTTATGTCAACTTTAATTGCTACTGCATGTTAATACTTTTGTATACGACTCATACAGAAAGCTGGCTGACAATTCGCCCAATTTATTACGACTACGTTTCAAAAATACCTCTTAATAAAGCACTATAAAATTGAAATATAAATTTTAATATTCATTTGTGTATTCACAAATAAAAAATAAACCGTGACTGAAAGCTGAATAAAAACGTGATGAGAGAGTTGTTGTCAAAATATGATACTTACGTCCAATAGTGGCTCCGAGCGCGGTGGCGGCGAGCGCGAGCACGGCGTACCACGACACGGCCATCTTACAGCGGGACTCACGCGCCACTGAACTACGACCACATTCGGAGTTCTTTCGCTACAATTGATTGCTGCGCAGGAGACGTGCACTAACGCTCGACAAAAAGCAATGGTAAAGTGTCACTCGACTGGTTTTTGCACTCGCAATCTTGTTCCGCACACAATGACACGTCAATGGACTGTGTATAATCAAACGAGTCGTGGGGTCCCTACTGTTTCTGTGAAGTAGGCAGATGTAATGGTAGTGCGGGCTTCCGACAGTTCCCTCGTTTCCGATCGGGTGTCGCGTGCGTCGTCGGCGACGCAACATGCTATGGTCTGGAGCACGTGCAGCCCAGCGGATGTCGCTGATCAACTCACAAAACGGTTCAAAAACAGATTTAGTTTATTGATGTATACGCTTTATTTTTTGCTTAACTGAAATTGGATGGGATATTATTCGTCACACGTGCGTGCAAACGCACTATGTTTGTTGGTACATTCGGTGTCATTGACCCATATTAGGTATTCGAGATATAATTTATAATATTCATATATCCACCATTTCAATGCCACAAATATTTAATATACCTACTCTTACACATATAATTATGTTCTTCTGTACCTATATTATTTTCTGGTGCTACATGGCAATTTTAAAGACGTTGCCAAGATAATACAATATAATACATCTATTATTTACAGATGATCAAATAGTTTATTATTATTATTTATAGAGGTTTAAAGATTAGATTTAAAGTTAATCAAAAGAAGTTTTTGAAACCTCCTCGTCCTCCCTTTCTTCAGTACGTAGTAATTACAAAAGAAGGTCCAGACAATTTTCTTCTTCTTATTTGGTCGAATTATAAAATATTTGTCTCTTATCTTTCAAAAGACCAAAATATTAACCTCAAATATCTTAAAAGTTGAAGAAATTGAAATTCTATGCGAGTATGTTTAAAACTTTAAATTGTTTAATTAATGAAGGTAAAATTTCGTCAGCATACTTTTCATAATGTCAAGGACGGTTATGTTGTAATCTTTCGATATACATAAGTATATTTCTCTACGTAAGATGGTTTGACATTGAAAGATTACCCTTCGTAGATGCCATACATATGACAAGTACAAGAACTAAGACGAAGTGTTATTATAATTTACAAAATTTAGATTAACAGTCACTAAGGTGGTGATCAAACCTAGTAATATTATGTAAATAAAAATAACAACATAACATCACGCCTTTTATCCCCGAAGGGATAGACAGAGGTGTCGGTACATTATGCCACTGTACAATATAACACCCACTTTTCACTATTTATGTTGAGTCTCATGTAATAGGGGGTGAGCCTATTGCCATATACCGGGCACAATTCCAGTCTCCGTGCTACTACTGAGATATTTTTTTAACCCAGTAATACTTTGCCCGACCCGGGAATCGAACCCGAGACCCCTTGCCCGGCTGTCGCACTTGCGCCACTCGGCCAACGAGGCAGTAAATAAAAATAATTACAAAAAAATTATTTATTGGTTGTGAATTTAGACCACCGAGATTTAGGTATATTTTTTATGAATGCAGAATTGTAGAATGTTTAGGTACAAATGAAATAGATCACCATTTTAAACGTTAAAGTTATTTTACGTTAAGTACATTATTACTAATTTACCTCTATGTTTTCAGCAGAGTATATTATTCGAAATTTACGATTTACGAAAATTACGATACTTTATTTAATTACACTTAACACATAGGTAGATAAGTAATAGCAAAATGCTACGATTGATATTAAAACATTAATGTGTCTTTGTCTAAAATGGTACATCATAATTTACACTCTGATCACTCGCCACGTATGCAGAAAATTAAGCAGTTCTTTAACAAATCTATAAACTTAAAAAAAAACATGTATTTTATAGGATGAATACTATCTATAGAATGCTGCGTCTGTCATTTGTTTTGATGATTTTATCAAAAGTAGATCGCTCTCCTTTTGATAAAGTAGATAAAAGACAAGGAAATAAACATGGTGGCTTAGAGACAGACATACAGACAGAATATAGGTTAAAATATGGAAACCAAGCTGAGATTAGGGATGGGTGATCATAACCACTCTTAGTATTGTGAGACACACATTAGCTGTTGATTAAATTTCTATTGCTGACGTTCAAAAGTGCCTTCCTGGTCTAATTGAAATAAATAATTTTGACTTTGGACCTTATGGTCGATAAAGAAGAGACAGAAGAAAAATCATCATAGAAGTTTAGAAGACCGTGTTATGATTAACTGATGAACTGAGAAGTAACTCAATAGTAAGATACGGAACAGGAAAGGAACTACCTAATTCACTTCAACAATTTTGTTTGTAAACCAATACTTAAGTGTAATAGTACAAGTGAGCTCTCACCGGTACCTACACTATTATTGACAATTTCCTCCGCTTAGAAAGTGCTATGGAAAACTGAGGTTTGCTCTAATTATATATCATTCCTGCTTTTTCCCGAGTTACTCAGGGGTCCAAATAACTATGTTTCCATGTATAGGTAAGTGGAGAATTGAAAGTCTACCGTAAAATGATGACCTTATAACTGTATTTCACCTGGAGGCAGACTGCAAAAATTGGTTATTTGTATGAATCTACGAGAATTTCTTAAAGAAAAATCAAATTGTCTACTAACACTGCAGTATCCTCCCTAATTCGATAGATCAAAAAGGAAGTTCAAGTTCAAAAGACCTGAACCTCAGCAGTCGTAACGACTCAAACCATATAATGATTCAATTCAGTTTATATAAACATATGAAGGTTAACCTAAGATGTCGTTAATGTTCAAACTGCAGTTTACCAATGTAATGACGCGGACGTAAGTATACAGGCTACTTGACTCTTTGTACGTATTCAAATTTAGAGGGTAATACAAAACTTCCTTATGGTCGTACTCGTGCATAAGGTCTGTCCTATTCATTGTAATGTTTAAAACTTTTGAAAAAAATATGCAAAAAATAAAAAAGGAACTGTTTTATTTTTGGTTAGTTGGTTGGCCTTTAGCCCATTCATTCTATTATCAACTTTCACATGCAACTTCTAAAACACATAAGACTCTGTGTTGTTGTTACAGCAGTTATATTGCTAAAATCCTTTTTTACAGTACTTTTTTTACGATTAAAAGCCAGATTTCAGCTCTTCAAGGATAATAATTTCGTTCAGTAACCCCTTAAAAATGTTATATATGGATAATAATACATAGTAGCTACCTCCATCGGTTATAAATATTTATTTCGACGTAATTGATTACTTTAGCGAAGAGATCAAACAGAAAACACCAAAGAGTGACTGAGAGAGGAAAAATCACCTTCGCCTAACCTTTGTACAAGATAGTGTCATTTCACACCAAGTGACAATTAGTTAGGGATTCCCTATCAATTGCGTGGTTCACACCTATGTAGTGTGTGTTCTGAGCTAATTAAGAGTTGCTGTTATAAAGTTACTTGCAGCTTCCGTACTTAATAAGTTTAATGACAAGCTAGCTACTGATGCACTACGTGTATTTGCTCATTGGGGTATAGGTACATATAATTCCTGGGAGTTTATAACTCTTAAAAGCAGCACAACACTGCTGTTTTTTTAAAGTTAAAATATTACAGAAGTAAGAGTGCAATAGATGCACATATTCTTACTGAGTGAGGTACAGACATACTAGGAAACTAGTACATGTTTGTACCTAATACGTATCATCATCACAATTTAGGAGTGTGATAGAAAATTACATTTCTGTTTATGCTATCTTTAGTTTAGCTCGTAAGACAATCACTGCTGGAAATAGGCCTCATAGTCATTATATATAACTGTTGTGATTTTTTATAGGTCATGATTGTTTACAAGCAAAATTGTCTTCAAAGCAAATATATTTGCAGAAGTTTGCATAACTGTTTTTGAGTAAACAGAGATATAAGCATTTCTTAAATATGACGAGTAGAGTTGTTTTTTTCTGAATTAAAACTATCTTAGCTTGAGTAACTTGTGCATTGGTGTACGTGTGTAGCCCACTAACTAATTGGTGTTCGTTAACGCTCATTCATAGGCTTTTGCAAACAGTTTGAAACCTAAATGATTAGATTTGCCGAAAGCAAAACGTGGTCTGGGACTGTTTGGACAGGTTTTACACGTATTATTGGTTGGGCACAGACAGGCAACTTATTTACTTAGGTAGTTACATAGTTTGTGTAAAATTATAATTATGGTTTCTCTTATACTTTTAGGAGAAGTCGCAAAATTAAAAAACAATATTTCAAAATGTTACACAGATTCGATAAATGAATTAGCTCATGTTCATGTCAAATTAAATTTTCTTTGAATCGATATTGGGATAAAAAGTTAATAAACGTTTTATTACAACATTTATTTTCGCTAGTAAAGCAAGTAATGAAAGAATTTACAGTTAGTAATAAGCTCACTTTAAAGTAATAGAAAGTTATTGGACATTTCACTCTGAGCTAATTAGTTAAAGAGGTTCGTTATTTATTGGACTTCTTTTTCTAAATCCATGAAGTTCTCGATGGCTTTGGCTGCTTTCTCTCGTCTTTCGTCACTGTCTGTATTGGCTAGAGATGGTGCTCTGCTAGGGTTGCGAAGGACTGGTTTCCGAAGTTGGAAGAAGTTCAGCGAAGCCTTCAATTCTTTGATGAATACTTCTTTGTGGGTAACCTGTAATTATATAATCGTTTTATACAACATGGTGTAAAAATGACAATGCTACGACAATCTAGTTCTGTTTAGAATAGTGCCATCAGTGTAAAACAACAAAATGAGACACACCTGCTCCCGTACGACAATATTGCGGACTTCATTCATGAACTCGATGGCGGCCATGAACAGGCAAAACACTAACCCTACCACCAGGACCACGAAGGCTCCAATTAAGTTCTCCATCTCAAGATCACCTTCCGTGTCATTTTCATCCGTGACAGGCTATCGAACAAAAAATCAATATTTTAGATGAGTCTGTTAAGCACTGACTGTATTTTACCAT